ACGTGAAATGAATATTTACACTTAATTTATTGATAATGATTATGATGATGATAATGATCATAAACAATGGTATTATTACTAGCAGGAAGTTACATACTTTGATTTCACAGTGTCTAAATTATAGTAGTAGGAAAAAAATAAACAGTGCTGATACAAGATGGGAAAAGTCAGAACTTTGATGGCTCTGCTTCTTCTGAATAATATGTTGTGAATTATTTAGATTTTTATTATTTAACAAAGTTATTATTATTAATATTAACGAAAAGTTACATAGTCTGTTTTCAAAGTATCACAATTATAGTAGCAGGCAATAAATAAGCGGTGCTGATACAAGAATGGGGAAAGTCAGAACTTTGATGGCTCTACTTCTTCTGAATAATATGTTGTGAATTATTTTAGATTTTTTATCATTTAACAAAATTATTATTATTAGCAGAAAGTTAGATAGTTTGATTTCAAAATATAAAAATTATAGTAGCAGGCAATAAATAATTAAGCAGTGCTGATACAAGATGGGAAAAGTCAGAACTTTGATGGCTCTACTTCTTCTGAATAATATGTTGTGAATTATTTTAGATTATTATTATTTAACAATGTTCTTATTATTAGCAGAAAGTTACATAGTCTGATTTCAAAGTATCAAAATTATAGTAGCAGGCAATAAATAAATAAATAAGCAGTTCTGATACAAGATGAGAAAAGTCAGAACTTTGATGCATATACTTCTTCTGAATAATATGTTGTGAATTATTTTAGATTATTATTTAACAATGTTCTTATTATTAATATTAGCAGAAAGTTACATAGTCTGATTTCAAAGTATCAAAATTATAGTAGCAGGCAATAAATAAATAAGCAGTGCTGATACAAGAATGGGGAAAGTCAGAACTTTGATGGCTCTACTTCTTCTGAATAATATGTTGTGAATTATTTTATATTATTATTATTATTTTAAAAAAATATTTTTATTAGCAGAAAGTTACATAGTCTGATTTCAAAGTATCAAAATTATAGTAGCAGGCAATATATAAATAAGCAGTGCTGATAAAAGATGAGAAAAGCAGAACTTTGATGGCTCTACTTTTCTAAATAATATGTTGTGAAATATTTTAGATTATTATTATTTAACAAAATTATTATTATTATTATTATTAGCAGAAAGTTACATAGTCTGATTTCAAAATATCAAAATTATAGTAACAGGCAATAAATAAATAAGCAGTGCTGATAAAAGATGGGAAAAGTCATCACTTTGATGGCTCTACTTCTTCTTAATAATATGTTGTGCATTATTTTAGATTATTATTATTTAATAAAAAAATGATTATTATTAGCAGAAAGTTACATAGTCTGATTTCAAGGTATCAAAATTATAGTAGCAGGTAAAACATAAATTAACAGTGCTGATACAAGATGATAAAAGTCAGAACTTAGATGGCTCTACTTATTCTTATTCAGAATAATGTATTGTGAATTATTTTAGGTTATTATTCAACAAAATTATTGTTAGCAAAAAGTTACATAGGCTGATTTCAAAGTATGAAAATGATAGTAGCAGGCTATACATAAACAGTGCTGATGCAAAATGAAAAATGTCAGAACTTGATGGCTCTTCTTATTCTGAATAGTATGTTGAGAACTATTTTATATATATATATATATATATATTTTATATATATATATTTATTTTTATTTATTTTTATTACCTTACAACAGTCTTGTTCAGAATCAGCAGAGATCTCTCACAGTACATCTTGTATCAGCACTGCATTTTGTCATTTATACTCATACTTGGATACTTTAAAAAAATCAACTTTCTGCTACCCCCCCCCCCCCCCCCCCCCCCCCCCCCCCCCCCCCCAAAAAAAAAGAAAAAAAAGAACTATACCGTCTGACAAGGACTTGATTTGTGTGAATATTCACTTCAATTATTCAAACATGTGAAAAGCAAAGTCCTGTTCACTTTCAGTACAAAAGAAATAAACAGGAATTTGCCTTTCACGCGATTGGATAAGTTCTCAATTCCTTTTGTAAGCGAGTCCTAACCTGAATGATGATAATACTACTACTACTAATAATAGTAATACCAATAATAATAATAGATACATAAATAAATAAAATAACAACATATTATTGAGACTAAGTAGACCATCAAAGTTCTGACTTTTTTCATCTTGCATCATCACAGTTTGTTGTTATTATTATTATGATTATTTTTTATTATGTTTTTATTTGTGTTTTGTTGCCTACTACTATAATTGTGATACTTTGAAATAGAATTTTGTAACTTTATGCTACACAAAATTAAGTTCTGATAAGGACTTGAGAACACACTTGGCAAATATTATGATACAATATAATCCAGTTGGTTACTTTTGCAGTTTGATAAGTGCATTTTGACTGGAAGGTAATCTGCAGGATGCCTAAAGCTTTCCTGACATTGATATTTTTGGACAATAAATCACATCTCTTCAAAGTGCCCCCAGGCTTTGTGCAGTGTCCCAACAATTTATCTAGTTGATCTACTTAATATATTTTATTATAGACTTCTCATGGGTTGTCCATTTGAAGGTGAGAAAATGCAAGAGAAGAGTTATGACATGACATGTCACGGGTAAACATTGATAAGGTGGCTGAAATCTGAAAAGTGTTCTTGATATATTTAAAATATTAATACATGATCGTTTGCAGGTGCCTTTGGTTAATGAGTTTTAATATGTTTGTGACAATTCAAAGCGAGATGCTTTTCCGAGGGCATGGTTGAGAAGATAAACCATAATTTTCATTAGAAGTCAGGTAAAAGCAGCTCTAGATAAAATATAATAAAAAAATATTATTTTTATTATGTCAAAATAAAAATGACATAAGCTATATACCAATATATTATAAATATCTATTTATCTATCTATAGAGATCTAGATAGATCGATAGGAGAGAGAGAGAGAGAGAGGGAAAGGAAGGAAGAAGGGAAGGAAGGAAGAAAGGAAGGAAAAGAAAGAAAAAGAAAGAAAGAAAGAAAGAAAAAGAAAGAAAGAAAGAAAGAAAGAAAGAAAGAAAGAAAAGAAAGAAAAGGAAAAAAATGAACGAGAAAGACCTATTTGTGTAAGGAGAGAGAGAGAGAGAAGAGAAGAAGGAAAGAAAGAAAGAAAGAAAGAAAGAAAGAAGGAAGGAAGATAGATAGGTAGGTAGACAGACAGACAGACAGGCAGGCAGGCAGACAGACAGATAGATAGATAGATAGATAGATAGATAGATAGATAGATAGATAGATAGATAGATAGATAGATAGACAGACAGACATGGGGAGAGAGAGAGAGAGAGAGAGAGAGAGAGAGAGAGAGAGAGAGAGAGAGAGAGAGAGAGAGAGAGAGAGAGATGAGAGATGGATAGATGGATAGATAGATAGATAGATAGATAGATAGATATAAATGAAACATACACATTTCTGTATATTTATACTTAGAAACCATTATGGCACTAACCTGTTTCGTTTGCACCCTTTAGCCTTGTTCCAAATTTGTTGTTTACAAATCTCGCTTTGAATTGTCACAAACATATTAAAACTCATCAACCAAAGGCACCTGCAAACGATCATGTTTAAATATTTGTAGACATTAGTTCTTCAGAAAAAAAGTATCTACATTATGAAACTTTTCGTTCTCTCACACCACTTATTCGTTACCTCATTAATTAATTCAACGAAAAAAACAAACACAGACACGTCAGTTCTTTTTTTGTTGATGTATTTTTATTTCTGAAAACGGTAAATAAAACGATGGCAGTGAGCTGTACTAAATCAACATAAAACGCTTGTTTTTGTTTTTTTTCATAGAAAAAGTAAAAAATGCAAACGAAATGTAGCAAACACAACAATAAATAATAATCTAAGTATCACAAGCCAAAGAAATCAATAACAAAAAAAAAACTTTTGACACAACCAAATGATTTCCCTCATCCAAAGCATGACAAGAATAAAAACAAGTGGCTACATGGAATGTTTTGCAAATTGGCATTTGGTAAAGTGTATTTTTTTTTAGAATTCAATGAACAATCCCACATTTTTTTTTTCTTTGCCATCGTTGGCTCATTAAAGTGCAGTTTTCGCGAGAAGCTATAGAAATTCGGGCATATATATAGTATAAAAAACTAGCATTTCTCCGTTATTTACAATCAGAAGGCAGGTAAAGTACAGGTTATGTACAAGCGTTCTCTTTCTAGGGTTCGGACGTTAGAAGGGTTGGAAGACGTTCTGGATTTCTGGAGTTGACAGGTGTGTAAAAAAGAAGCCAAAAAAAGATTAAAAAAGGGTGAAAAATGTTTAAAAAAGTATAAGAAATAAATGAAAAAAAAAATATATACATACTTACATATATATATATATATATATATATATATATATAGAGGGGGGTCTTAAAACTGTTTCTGCACATATATATATATATATAAATTTTTAAGTGCAGAAACCTTTTGAAGAACCTCTTTATATATATATATATATATATATATATATATATATATATATATATATATCAAGGAGTCAAGGAGAGGGGGTATCAAAATGAAAAATAGCTAAAGAAAAGGTTTATTTTATTTTTATATGATATATATATATATATATTTAAAAAATCAAAGAGGAAAGAAAAGGATAAAAAAGGTAAACAATAAAATAAAAGGGAGCTCAAAGAGTGTCAGACTGTATATAAGAGGTTAAAATAAAGGAGAGCAAGAAAACGAAAAGGGGGGATAGAACAGACAACGTTGGCAGAATGGCATGATGACACTAAGCAGAACACGATAAATTTGACATTATATATATATGTAAATATATATAAATGAACCCATTCACTGTGGGAGTTAATGGCAATATGACGCAGGACGTGTTGAGTTCTCTAGGGGTAGAAGTGGTGGCTCCTGTTGACACTTGTTGTGTTGGTCCAATGTTCATGGTGGGTGCCCACCCTTGGGTCCCATCCTCAGTCCTTTTCCCATGGATCAGTCCTTTAGCTGGCCTCATCGGAGTCGCTGTAGTGGGAATGTGGGGAGAACTCTCCATCACTCCTGTGACCTCTGGGGGAAGGTTTGCTCTCCTCTCCTGAAGACTGGGCAGGTGGAGAGGAAGGGGACTTGTGGCTGGAGTAGTTGATGGGGTCGAGTGGCAGAGGGTAGTCGGCAGGGAACCTCCGTGCTTCCCCCCCATAGTTAGAGCAGGGTGGGGGGTGTTCGGGAGGTGCCTGGAGAAGTTCGGACAAGGCGTTGATGTAGATCTGAGCCATCTGCAGGGTCTCGTACTTGGAAAGTTTCTTGTCGTTGTTGAAGGAGGGGATGACGTTCCGGAGCTGGTCGAAGGCATGGTTGAGGCCATGCATCCTCCTCCTCTCCCGGGCATTGGCGGCCAGCCGGCGCTGCTTCTGCACCCCGTTGGGGGCTTTCCCTGACGGGGCTCTCTGGTGGCACTCCTCGCCCCCATCGTCGTCCTCGTCGTCGTCGTCCTCCTCCTCCTCCACCTGCAGCCCCTTCAGTTTCCACACCTTGGGTCTCCTCCCGCCGGCCTGGGACAGCAGGTAGTCCGGGGCGGCGGCCAGTGCGGGGCTGGAGAGCCAGGCTCGGGGGTCGCTGGCGTCCAGCAGGTACGGTTCGGAGGGCAGCTCCTCGCACCAGTCGGCGGCCAGTAAGCGGGACATGGCGACACTTGAGACGGGGCTCTGCGGACACACACGGGTCGCGTGCACACTGCTCCTCTCCGGTGTCTGCGGGCGAGGCGCCCCTTTAAGGACGGCACGCGCCGCTCTGCCCCCCCAGACCGCCCCCTCCCCCCGGCTCTAGATCCAGGCCCCGCGCCTGTCGCGTGTCACTGCGGCCAATGGCAGCCCGGGGTGTCGCGTGCTGTCAGCCAATGGGGAGGGCGCTGGAGTCAGTGTCGGTGTGTGTGTTGGGGAGTGAGAGGGTGGGGGTGATGAAATGATCGGTATACGGAGATCGTTGGATGACAGGGATAAAACACCTTCCGTGCAACTCCCACATCGGCACTGTAGTAGTGGCTACACACCGCAACGGCCACACCGGGGGACTTACCTGCGTGGGACACAACGTCATCACTTATCGTATAGAAGATCGGAACATGGTCGCTTATCGCATGAGATGACCGGGACATAATCAAATATCATATGACATGACCGGGACATTGTCACTTCTTATATGAAATGACCAGGACATGATCAAATGTTATATAAGATGACCGGGACATAATCAAATATCATATGACATGACCGGGACATAATCAAATATCATATGACATGACCGGGACATAATCAAATATCATATGAGATGACCAGGACATGATCAAATATCATATGAGATAACCGGGACATGGTCACTTCTTATATATGAGATGACCAGGACATGATCAAATATCATATGTGATGACCAGGACATGATCAAATATCATATGAGATGACCAGGACATGATCAAATATCATATGAGATAACCGGGACATGGTCACTTCTTATATGAGATGACCAGGACATGATCAAATATCATATGTGATGACCAGGACATGATCAAATATCATATGAGATGACCAGGACATGATCAAATATCATATGAGATAACCGGGACATGGTCACTTCTTATATGAGATGACCAGGACATGATCAAATATCATATGTGATGACCAGGACATGATCAAATATCATATGAGATGACCGGGACATGATCAAATATCATATGAGATAACCGGGACATGGTCACTTCTTATATGAGATGACCAGGACATGATCAAATATCATATGGATGACCAGGACATGATCAAACATCATATGAGATAACCGGGACGTGATCAAATATCATATGAGATAACCGGGACGTGATCAAATATCATATGTGATGACCAGGACAAATGTCACTTCTTATATGAGATGACCAGGACATGATCAAATGTTATATGAGATGACCAGGACATAATCAAATATCATACGAGATGACCAGGACATGATCAAATATCATACGAGATGACCAAGACATGATCAAATATCATACGAGATGACCTGGACATAATCAAATATCATATGAGATGACCAGGACATAATAAAATATCATATGAGATGACCAGGACATGGTCACTTCTAATATGAGATGACCAGGACATGATCAAATGTCATATGAGATGACCGGGACATAATCAAATTTCATATGAGATGACCAGGACATGATCAAATATCATATGAGATGACCAGGACATGATCAAATATATGAGGTGACCAGGATGCGATCAAATATCATATGAGGTGACCAGGACATGATCAAACATCATATAAGATGCCCAGGACATGATAAAAATATAATATGAGATGACCAGGACATGATCAAATATCATGTGAGATGACCAGGACATGATCACATATCATATGAGATGACCAGGACATGATCACATATCATATGAGATGACCAGGACATGATCAAATATCATATGAGATGACCAGGACACGATCACTTATTATATGGGAGATGACCAGAATATGATCTATTATACGAGATGACAGGACATGATCACTTATATAAGATGACAGCACATGATCGCTTATTAAATGAGACGATCAGAACAATCACAGTATTATATGAAATGGCAGGACATGATGACTTCTTATATGGATGACCAGGAAATGATCATTTATTACATGAGATGACTAGAACATAATTACTAATATGATATGACCAAAACATGGTAACTTATTCAATGAGATGACCAGCTCATGATCACTTATTATATGAGATGTCCAGGAGATGATCACTTATATGAGATGGCCAGGACATGATCATGTCATGAGATGACCAGAAGATGATAACTTATTCAATGAGATGTCCAGGACATAATCATGTATGATATGAGATGACCAGAACATGATCACTTATATGAGATGACGAACACGTGATCACGTATTATTTGAAAAGTTCAGGACATGATCACTTCTTATATGAGATGATAGGACATGATCACTTATACGAGATGGCCAAACCATGATAACTTCTATGAGGTGACAGGACATGATCACTTGATATATGGGATGACCAGGACTTAATCGTTTATTATATGAAACGACCAGGATATGGTCTATTGCATGAGATGACCAGAACAATCAATTACAGTATTATATGAAATGACCAAGTCATGATCACTTCTTTTATGAGATGACCAGGACATGATCATTTATTGTATGAAATTAACGGAACACGAATGATCGCTCCTTACTTCAGAACATGATCACTTATATTAGATGACCAGAATATGATCTATTATATGCGATGGTCAGAACATGACCATTTATTACATGAGATGACATGAACATGCTATATCAGATGACCAGAATGTGATCACTTATTATATTAGATAGCTAGAATATGATCTTTTACATAAAATGGTCAGAGCATGACCATTTATTATTTGAGATGACCCAAACAGGGTCACTTATTGTACAAAATGGCCAGAGCATGATCATTTATTATATGAGATGGCCGGATCTATTATATGAGATAACCAGAGAATGATTACTTATATCAGATGACTGAAACATGATCTATTATATGAGATGATCAGAACATGATCACCTATTAAATGGCATAATCACCTATATGAGATGGTCAGAAGATGATCTAGTATATGAGATGGCCAGAACGTGACTACGTATTGTATGAGATTGATAGAATATGCTCACTTTTTATATAACTCACAGCACATATCACTTATATGAGATGATCAGAACATAATCCCTTATTAAACGAGATGACCAGAACATGCTCCCATATTATATGAGATGACCAGAACATGCTCCCTTATTATATGAGATGACCAGAACATGATCCCATATTATATGAGATGACCAGAACATTTCCCTTATTATATGAGATATATGAGATGACCAGAACATGATCCCTTAAATATGAGATGACCAGAACACTATCCCATATTATATGAGATGACCAGAACATAATCCCATAATATATATAAAATGACCAGAACATAATCCCATAATTATATAAATGACCAGAACACATGCTCCCATTATTATATATGAGATGACCAGAACATGATCCCATATTTATATGAGATGACCAGAACATGCTCCCTTATTATATGAGATGACCAGATGACCAGAACATGATCCCATATTATATGAGATGACCAGAACATGATCCCCTTATATTATATGAGATCACCAGAACATGATCCCTTAAATATAGATGACCATATCCCATATTATATGAGATGACCAGAACATAATCCCATAATTATATGAGATGACCAGAACATGATCCCATATTATATGAGATGACCAGAACATTCTCCCTTATTATATGAGATATGAGATGACCAGAACATGATCCCTTAAATATGAGATGACCAGAACATGACCAGAACACTATCCCATAATTATATGAGATGACCAGAACATAATCCCATAATATATAAAATGACCAGAACATAATCCCATAATATAGAAAAATGACCAGAACATGCTCCCTTATTATATGAGATGACCAGAACATGCTCCCTTATTATATGAGATGACCAGAACATGATCCCATAACATATGAGATGACCAGAACATAATCCCTTATTATGATGAGAAGACCAGAATATGAGATCCCAGAACATAATCCCATATATGAGATGACCAGAACATGCTCCCTTATAATATATGAGATGACCAGAACATGATCCCATAATATATAAATGACCAGAACATGCTCCCTTATTATATGAGATGAGCAGAACATGATCCCATAATATATTAGATGACCAGAACATGCTCCTTTATTATATGAGATGACCAGAACATGATCCCATAACATATGAGATGACCAGAACATAATCCCATATTATATGAGATGACCAGAATATGATCGTATAATATATGAGATGATCAGAACATAATCCCATATTATATAAGATGACCAGAACATGCTCCCTTATTATATGAGAAGACCAGAATATGATCGTATAATATATGAGATGACCAGAACATGCTCCTTTATTATATGAGATGACCAGAACATGATCCCCTATTATTATATGAGATGACCAGAATATGATCCTATAATATTTGAGATGACCAGAACATACTCCTTTATTATATGAGATGACCAGAATATGATCTATTAATAAATTATATGACCAGGGCAAATCTATTATTATAAAAGATGACCAGAAGATGATCTATTATTAAATGAAATGACCAGAACATAATCTATCATAATCATCAATGAGATGACCAGAAGCTGATCTATTATGACCAGAACATAAACACTTTTTACATAAGATGACCAGGGTGATTGTATGTACTTACTCAGTTGTAGCCTCATTGCATGCACTGGCATGTTCTTTTAACTTGTTGCTACTTAAGGCTATCTATCTATGTATGGATTGTCAGCTCTGCGGGTGTAACGCGATGTGGGTGTTCTGTGTGCGCTCTCCACGTGTGTGCCTTGCCTTGTGGTGAATTGATCTCAGCAGTGCCCGGGGCTGTGGTTGCAGGTTCTCTGAGCACCTTGTCAGCTGGGTGACAGCACATCTCTGGCTGTGGAGTTAGGCAGCCCGACTCCTAGACAATGCAGGCAGAAGTGCGCTGCCTCTGGGGACAGGAGGGGTTCATAATGTGAAAGAACAGCTCCAGCACACAGTTAGTT